AGCCTAGAATCGAGCAGATCATGGACAATGAGGTCTCCACGAATCGCATATGATACGCACATTGGCAAAGAAGACATCCAGACGACCTTCCTCTTTCAAAGCCTGACTACACACGCCAGATATGGCGGAATCGTCTGCTGCGTCGGCCTGTATTGTGGTAACCTAAATGACACCTCAGTCGAGTTGCAAATAGCCGCGGAAGTGAGCCTACAACCTTTACATCGGGGTATGCCTTCTGGATGGTCGACTTGAGATCAGGAAGGTTTTCCCCAGAGAAATCCAGGAGATAGAGATGGTGTGCGCCTGCATGTATCACAGCACGGTCAACCCCGTCGGCTATTGGTGTTTAGGTTAGGAACTATGTACCTTCGTGTGCAAAGAGTATAGCTGAGGCTCGTCTGGGTCTCTCGTCAGTGGAATTCGGACAAAAGAAACAATAATCGCTCTACCCTATCCCATGCAGAGACCCTACGCCGGTAATGATGCAAGTTTTTCCTTTGAGACGCTGCCCGCGGGGGGAATTGGACAGGTGAGACTGGATCTGATTGACCCGGGTCAAAGTTCTTTGATAGTGTTCTTCGGAACTGGGCTGTCCTCCAATAGCTTTGGGATTGGACGAAGACTCAGGCATGGTGCAAAAGAGTCACGATACAGCACAAGCAGTTTCGGAGGAAATGAACTCCCATGGAGCTGGGAGCTTGGCTTACTATGAAAAGGTACCCGGCTGCCGGTGAAACTCATGATCAAAATCCAGGTATCTGGCAGTTGTACATCTAATTCCCAAACGAACTATCCTCTACTACAAACAATACACGAAGACCAGCCGGTTCTATACGATACAAACTAGGATATACAGGGCGTTAAGCACCTGGAGAAGCAAGTTACAACGAGCACGCAAATAGACACCGCGGCCTGCGCAATCCAATCACACACAACCATCCTGCAAACATGAGTCAATGTCGAGGGATGGGATCTACTTGATAAGGTTGTGTGGTGTGGTAAACGCTGCCGTCGTTGTGACCATGAAGGTTCTGCCGAGAGGCGAACTCGTCTGGTCGGAGGTAACATGATCCATGGTCGATCTGGCCCGGATATTGAGAGCCGTGATCATCCAAACGATACGGGATGCAATTCCCCACATTCATGTCCTCCTGATATGGCTGTGGGTTATACAGCTGAGGACGCGCGGAATACTCGTGGAGCGACTCTTCGGGAGAATGATGGCTCGAGCTGGCCGAGCTAGCCGGAGAGGGGTAGCCACGGTAGCACTCCGTCTCGTTGGTATATGGATAGAATGAAGTGGCGGAGCTGGGATAGGAAGGACTGGAATGCGAAGGACTGGAATACGAAGGGCTGGAATGTGGACTAGAGTTTGAAGGACTAGAATGCGAAGGGTTGAGATGCATAGGAATTGGGGCTATAGGCTGCGGGAACCCATCGTCACGAGGAGTGATGGTGTCTGGGCGCAAACGCTTCGTAGCGGGAGGATAATGATCATCTGCGTGATATGCCGGTTGTCCGATGGGGAATTCAGCCGATGGCGCATGCGGGTAAGCATGGATTTGTTCGTGCGCCGGCGAGATCCGGGGTGTGATGGGCGTCCGTGCGTCGGGACCTTGGAGGCCCGACTGCAACCTGTTCTGAGATGGAGCGAATGTCAGTGCGGGTGTGGTGGGCGCAGTAGTCTTTCGTTTCCGGGGCTGAGGCGGTGGCCTTGTGCTAGGGCGGCCAAGCGTGAGTTCACTGCGCACAAAAAGAGGTGGGAGGGGCTCCTTGGTTTTCTGGAGAGGTACAGCTGAGGTGAAATGCAGAATAAATATACTTGAACTGAAACTCACGCGTCCTGTACCGCCACCTTCATACGGGGAAACACCGTTATAAGCGACCGGGGAGAGCGACATCTGCTGCGAGGGTGCCATAGATGAGGATATACAAGTGATGCTCGTAGCTGGTGAAGACCCAGAATTTTCTGGGGAGAGAAAGAGCGAATTGCTGGGCCATTATAAGCCATCGTAGCTGCTTCCTTGCGTAGTTCTACGGCGGGTAAGATGTTAGCACGTTTTCTCGGAATGAAATGCGCAAGCCTGCAGTCCTGCGTCGGCGCTGAGTGCGCTTGAGTGCAGGCATAACAAATGTGATGGCTGAGGCTGGCTGATCCTCATAGAAAGGTTCAGAAAGGTTCCGATTGGCTTTATTGATACTCCGCCACCGTGTCGCGACAGATACAAATCTATCTGCTGAGCCTCTCTTGTTATTACGCTCTATTGCTTTCTGTCATGTCTTCAAGCATCGAGCTCATCAATCCAAAGGCTGAGAGCGTAAGAAGGGCTGCCGCTCTGCAGGTATTGGTATTTCGCTTTCTGTCCTATTTTCGCTTAGAACCGTCCGCGTCCTCTAGGTCAACACGGCTGGCGCGATGGGCCTTGCCAGTGTCGTGAAGAGTAATCTCGGTTAGCCCCATGCATCGCATACAGGTAAACGAGTCTTTGATCGACATTTCCTAGGCCCGAGAGGTACTCTCAAAATGCTGGTGGACGGCTCTGGTCAGATCAAGATGACCAAGGACGGCAAGGTGCTGTTGTCCGAGATGCAAATACAGAATCCGACTGCCGCTATGATCGCTCGCACTGCGGTTGCTCAAGACGATCAAGTCGGAGATGGCACAACTTCAGTCGTTTTACTTGTTGGCGAGCTCTTGAAACAGGCCGATCGGTTCATATCTGAAGGCGTTCACCCTACTGTGATTGCTGAGGGATTTGATCTCGCAAAAAAAGAGGCTTTAGCCGTTCGTGATTCGCTCAACTTCCGTAAAGTCCAAGCTCTGATGCGCACCCGGATAGTTCCTGGACACGTTCAAACAGCCCTCAAAACTGGATCGGCCTACCCTGATCAATGTCGCATACACTTCGCTTGCCACAAAGCTCCACGCGTCTTTGGCGAAGCAGCTCGCAGCTGATGTGGTGGACGCCGTGCTAACCATCAGGCCCCCTCCTCCCCCAAAAGGCACGTATTTCATGTAGGAACCAGGGTCAGTGCGCTAAAAGTTTATTGCAGATGCAAAAGACCTTTGGCGTGATCCAATCGATCTACACATGGTAGAGATCATGAAAATGCAGCACAGGACAGCTTCAGAGACCCAGCTTGTGCGCGGCTTAGTAATGGATCATGGAGCAAGGCATCCGGACATGCCAAAACGCGTCGAGAATGCCTATATTTTGACGTTGAACGTGAGCTTGGAGTACGAGAAGACGTAAGTTTGGGTCCGTCGCCTGTTAAAACCCTAAACTGACAATCACAGCGAGGTTAATTCCGGCTTCTTTTATTCATCCGCTGAGCAGCGCGAGAAGCTCGTGGAATCAGAGAGGCATTTCGTCGATGCCAAAGTGAAAAAGATTGTGGAACTCAAGAACCTCGTTTGTGACCAAGCCGTCGGCGGCAAGGAGAAGCAAAAGAACTTTGTCCTCATCAACCAGAAAGGCATCGATCCTCTCAGCCTCGATATTCTCGCGAAAAATGGCATCTTTGCTCTTCGGCGGGCCAAGCGACGCAACATGGAAAGGTGGTGGTGTTGTGCTCACGTAATTTCTGTCAAATCTGATAGTTCATGGGTACAGGCTGCAACTCATATGCGGTGGTGTAGCTCAGAATTCCGTCGATGACCTCACCCCTGACGTCCTCGGCTGGGCCGGCCTTGTTTATGAGCACACCTTGGGGGAGGAGAAATACACCTTCCTGGAAGAAGTTAAACAACCCAAGAGCGTCACCCTTCTCATCAAAGGTCCAAATGCGCACACCATACAGCAGATTCAAGATGCCCTGCGCGACGGGCTGCGTGCCGTGAAGAACGCACTAGAAGACAACTGTCTCATTCCGGGTGCAGGGGCGTTTGAGGTTTCGTGCGCAGCGCATCTGAGCGGCCCTGTCAAGAGGTCTGCGAAAGGGCGGGTCAAGATGGGTGTTCAGGCGTACGCAGATGCCCTGTTGATCATTCCAAAAACACTAGCGCAGAACGGAGGATTCGATGTTCAGGATGTTGTCGTTGCGTTGCAGGTATGTTGTGGACTTTTGTTAATTACTCAGAGCAGAACATATGTCACCATTCCCAGGATGAGCAAGCAGAAGGCAATACCGTTGGACTCGATCTTGAATCCGGAGAACCATTTGATCCCACGGTTGAAGGTATCTGGGACAACTACCGGGTCAAGAGGCAAATGCTACACTCATGGTTAGAAACGTGGTGTTTCATTGAAGGCTACATTGCTGATATGCGCCCCCAGTTCCGTCATTGCTGTGAACCTTCTCTCCACGGACGAAATCCTACGGGCTGGTCGCAGCTCACTGAAGCCAGATGGACAGTCATAGTCTAAGCAAAGCAAGCATATCACATATAGATACCGTCTTTTAATCGAGTGCTTTTCAACGCGGCCGGGCTTTTTTATCAAGATGAGATGGGATGTGTCCGCGTAAAATAACCCGGTGTCATCTGGAATTTTCCCGACCGCACTTACCCGCAGGGACAGCGAGTTGTGCAATTTCTCGTCCCCTTCGACAACCGTTAAGACGCACAGCACTCATCAGTCGCGGCGAGCAGGGGCGAGGAGCACAGACACTCTTGGCGATCGGAGACGCGCTGCACTGTACGCATCCGAATTGTTAATTCCTCATCTCATGCGCAACCCCCGCCTTTGCAGCGACGGCGATGTGTACGTTTAAGTGGATGACGAATTAAATATGATTCAACCCCAGGGTGCCCTACGTATGGTATTTAATGTTGCTCTTGACCCGGGAACGCGTTTACGCTGAGGTTATCATGACGTCCGTTCTCCACACCGCATGGCCAGCGTACTTTTCGTTGGATGTATTGAGCACGCTGGACTAATTCTGACGTTTGCGGCCCCTGCCCCGCACCCGCACACAGGGCCTTGAGTATAGCTACGGGACATCAGGTTGAAATTGGTGATTGATGAGTTATGTAGTACCCAAGGGCATTCTTTGTTATCGTCCTTGTCGATTAGTGGTTAAATCATCGCATTGTGGTACCATCATAACTGCGAAGCCGGAAGTTCGAATCCTCCTTGGGACAGCTTTTTCATCCGCCGACAGCTTTTTTTAGCAACTCGAACGATACATTGCACAAAAACACTACATCGATCGTATATACCCAAGGTCCAAGTATCCGAATCCCTGCCAAATCAGCATAGTGGGATTGGCAATAAGGAGGATAGTACAATAAAGTTACTACATATAAATCATGTCCAGAAGCAAATGGTTGGAAGTGTTGTGTTATAAGTTACACCTTGTACGTGATAGCAATGGGCAGACGCTAATCTGAGTATACATCAGACGATGATTCCCATCCGGCGTCAACGAGGTTCGCAGGTGAGGCTGGGCTGTCGTCGTCAAAGGTGGCCGATTTCCGAAGGTACTGGGACATAGGTGTGGCGAGCGCATTCTTCCATGGCACTACTGCGGGAAGCTCAGCTGCGTATGTCACACGAAGCTGCGACAAATGCTGGTCTTTGCGATGTGAGGATCGACCGTCGTCAGGATGCGACACGGACTCGCGACGTTGGGGTGTCGAGGCAGGAAAGCCTTCGTTGACCTGCAGAGCTATCAATGTTGGGTGACATGGGGGGTTGTAGGGTAACGTACATCTCCCTCGAGATCGTCCGTGTCGCTGCGCGAGATAAGGGTCGACTTCGGATACCGCTCAGAAGAAGCTGTGGTCACACGATGCATGAAGCGTGTTCCTGCAGGCGAAGCAACAGGAAGCTCACCTGAAAGTGGCTCGTCATCCATTAAATCCTCCATGTCCCTCGGCTTCAGCCGCTCACTCCGGCGGGTGCTAGAACCACCCTCGAGCGGAGATTTGGACATTGATGACCACCTGCGCCTGGCGAAGTTGGCGGGAGATGGCTTGAATGTGAAGACGCCGGTTGGTGGCCCCACAGCAGGGCGCAAACCAGGTTTGATCGCTGGTTCTTCTCGAGTGCCATCTATGAGCGTGTCTCTGAGAAGTGACGCGGGCATGATGGGTAAGGCAGTGTGGTCTTCCGGGGTAACAGGGCCATCGCTTTCGGTCTCCGAAATCCGGAAAAAACTACCACCTTCGCCCTCATCCTCCTCTTCTTTTGGCGAAGGTTCGTCAACAGGTGGGGGCGCCCACTTCCGCCGAGCATAATTGGTAGGGTTTGGGTGACAGAGAAGGCTGCTGCCAACCCCTCTGAATCTGAACGCGGAGATACCGGCAGATACGGGGGGATTAAATGGAATGGTCTCCTCCAGCGCTTCCACAACGTACGCTCGACCACGTAACCTCTTGACGGGGCGTTGCGAATCCTCGGGCAGGCTAGATGCCATTCGTTTCTTCGTCGGATGGGGACTGAGGTCAAGATCAACTTCCTCGTCCTCCTCCTTGGGCTTCTTGTCCACGTCTTTGTCTGCCAACCACAGTTTCACCTTTGACCTTTGTAACGCCCTCTGTGCCCTTGTGACACTACTTCGGGCAGAAGGAACCTTTTTGCGTACGAATCTTCCATTAGTCTCAGCTTTCTTCCCAAACCTGCCATTAGAGTCCCGAGGCTGTGTCTGTACAGCTAAAGACTTGGGCTTGAGATTCTTGGAATTCTTGGAAGAAGACAGCGATTGCGCGCGTTCTTTCCTCTTTGCGAGTACGGGTGAGGTAAGGCGAGGTCTCCCTCTTTTCCGTTTCGGTGGCTCTACTTCCTCGATGGGGTACTTGCGCGGTCTGCCTCTCTTTCGTTTGGGAGCCATGGCTAAGAGTTCTTTGGCCTTCTTGGACATCTCGACCTTGGGCGCATGGTCCGTCTTGCGCTTCTTCGGCGGGCGCTCATCAGTGGTTGCAACGAGTTTACGATCAACGGCGGACAGGCTTTTCTGGGTGGGACGTCGTGAGGACGCATCCGGCTCGTCGCGGTTGGCCGTATTGGTAGTCCCTGACACCTGTTTCGGAAGACGAGCTGGCCAAGGCTGGCCATAAATAGCAAAGTGCCGCATACACCTAATAACAACAGGGAAGAGGGTCAGTTCAGGACGAGACGAAAACCCGCGGAAACATAAAATTAACCTCGGACAGTCTTGTCTTTCTTTGCGTTTCCTGCCACGCTGGGGTGTCGTGTCAAGATTCAGCCCCCAAACCACCTTCGAGTCGACAGAGATCACAGGCAAGATGTTTGAGCATGTCACGCATGTGGGAAGTGGGCGACCATCCTCTCCCCGCAGAACTTCGGGCTTTCGAATTTCGGCTAACTCGGTCTTGTCCACGGCGAGCGATGGACGAGTGCGCAGAATTCTTGCCTCAGGCTCTTCCTTGATGTGAACTTGCTCCCTTCCTTTCCCCTTGCCCGTGTGAGGAGTCGGCGGGCGACTGGCGCTCTCCCGCGTGCGTCTCAATGGTAACTGCAGGGAGGGCGATCTCCCGGGCTGTGGTGTTACTTCTGGAGTAGCAGATACTGTCAGTTTTTGTCGGCGGGTTGAGATGATGGACTTGAATGGAGTTCTTGTCCTTTCGCGTGAGGATGCTTTGGAATTGCTCAACGGAGTAAGGGACATGTGTGAGTGTCGGCTATCAGGTTCGGGTGTCACAAGCCCAAGGTCCCGAGAAACAGCAGACCGAGAAGAATGGCGGGAGGTTCCAAACGCCGGTAAGAATGCTGACGCCGAGGCTTCTCCGGGCTCCATGTCGATGTCAACATCAACGTCTGCAGCGTTGGCAAGCGGCTTGTTGGACTCCTTCCCTTCATCCCCACTTTCGTCCGAGTCGTCATCTTCTTCTTCGACGAAAGCGTATACTCCACGACGTGTCCTCCGCTCATTGATGTTAACCGCAGCCGCCACCTCTTCCGGTTCGCTTTCATCATCTTCCGAACGCCCGGTATCCAACTCACCACCCGACCCCACTTCGCCATCGGTATGATCTGGAGCGTACCCGCCTCTTCCGCTCTTTTCGCAAGTCTCACAAAGGCAGTGGCGGTTCTTGCTACCGACTGCGCCGGAGGATTTGCAACTGGTCAAAAATCTGCATTTGATGAAGATGCATGTGGCACGTACAGTAACCATCACCGTAGTGGGCAGTGATCTCTTCTCCGACGGCAATCGGCCTCAGGACACGAAAAGTGATGTATTTTCCTTCGCGGAAAAGCTCGCAGTTGTGTTCACAATCGTGCTGTGCGACAAGTTCAACGATAGCATATTGTGATAGGGACAAATAACTCACGTTCACGAAACGAGCTGGCCCCAAAAATAGATGGTTCTTTTTCATCTGACGGGAGTGAATGACACTAAAGTCCCGCCTGATGTCGATGTTCCTGAGGTCGGTTCGCTTAAGCTCCTTGTCCTCCTCCTTTGACAAGTGGGCCATGGATCCCTTGAGTTCCGTAATTACCAGCCCTGGAGCCAAGGGACGTGTGGCGAGAATACACAGCTCGGACTTGCCCGTACGATGAGAATATCTGGACGTGTGAGCGATTTCTATAAATCCTGCAGGGTTGTAAAGTTCAAAGTATCGCGAGGCATGCCTGCGACAGAGGGGAATTAGTGTAATCCACGTCGGTAGAGGGGAGGGTGGTGGCGCACGTGGCAAACGCGTTGATCTGCTTTTGTGTATATGGCTTGAGGTAGTAACGAACGGATGGGAGGCTAAGTGAGAATGATGTCCCTGAGCAACAACTCTGCGCACATGACAGAAAGCACCAACGCAAGCAACTCGTCCACGGCCTGGCGAACGGCGTTCTGCGGTCCCGCTTTTGAAGCGACGAGCTATGGTCCGCATAAAAGCACGATTGGCGTCGTACCACGCGTAAAGGACGGCATAAATTAGTACTGAAGATAAGAAAGAAGGGCCTAAATACGCACGCGTCGAACGATAGCCATAAGATCGTCCGCGTTTGTCTTGGGCAGTCTCCGCGAGGGGTCCATCTTGTGAACTAGTAAAGGGACAGCGCCCGTCCCAAGCTTTTCAACCAGGAGATGGCTGAGAAAGTCATCATCCTTGGACAAGTCGCGCATGTTCATGATTTTCGTTGGGCGCCATGTCAGTGGGACCCCTCTTGACACGGACGGCGAGCCGCTGCCTGGCGCTGGAGCTGGTTGTGGCATTGGCCAGGAGGAAACGAACACGAACAGCTGCGAAAAAAAAGAGAGGATGAAGGAAAAGGAAACGGGCTGTGACACCGCAGAGGACTGACGCAAATGGCGGAGGGAAGGAGCAAGGCGAAGAACTGCACTGGCTACTTACGGCAGTACATACGATACATGCCCCGATTAGCTAATACTTATAGATCTTTTCACACCGCCGATTCACTCCACCACCATATCCGAGGCCCATCGCTTGCGCAAAAGAAGAATAGTTTGAGGCACTACAGCGGCAGGACATGGACTGAGATTGCAGGAGAACATGTGGTTAAAATAGCATGGTCGTCATACACTAGAGCGCTACGGAATTCCTCATTTTTTTTTTCGCTACCATGTCCTCTGGAACCCGATGCACCAGCGGCCCCCGCAAGGGGGACAATCATAGAAACAGTAAACGTCGGCAGCTCTTATGCGTTGTGCGCGTGCTTCTGCTTGCCGGATCTCAGCTTCCTCAGGTAGAACTGCAACGACATGAGGCACTAGAACAACTATAGGTACATTGCACTTACCTCCAGTTCCTTCCCTTCAAGGACATAGCCGTCGCAGCGACCCGATTGGCCTGGTCGGCTAGAAATCGCAGCATACAGACGTCCAGCGGCGAATTGAGACTCCAACAGAGGGTCGATTTTAGCCTCTTAAGTGGATTATTAGCGGGAAGGAAAAATACAGCCCAAAGTATGCATCACATACCCTTCTTCCTCTCCTCCAAAACACGCTTAACATGGTTGGACTGCTTTTTCTCCTCCTCCGTAGCAGCAGTAGCGGCGGCGGCTTGTGCCTTGGCACCCTTCTTGGTTATGGGTTGCGCGTACTACCCATAGCAAATCAGACCAATGTCATGTGTACATAAAATACTGTACTCACGTGGGCCTCATACCACTGCCTGAAGGGAGTTGCATCGACTTGAATGATCGCACTCTTGACCAAAGT